CCGATCGTATTCGGTGAACGCGAAAGAGAAGTACGCTGATGACGAGGATCTGGAGTATGAGAGCCGCTACTCGCAACTTCCCTCTGGCACCGTTACTCCTTCTGCGGCTGCAACAGCAGCCCAGTTGGCCGCAACCCAGGCTCAGATTCATCAGCACAACCTGGCTGTACAGGCATTCGCCAACCACGCATCTGCCAGCCGACCTCGTGCCAGGACGGCTGGAATTTTGGAGGCCCCTCCTCAGCGCTCGTCAATCCGCAATTACCTCGCTACTCCTTCGCGTCTCGAGAACAGCTTTAGCGCCGCCGACCTCAACATCGCGGAAGGCGGAGAATATGATGAGCTGTCGGAAGCTGTTCAGCTCATGCATCTTGGTGGAAGTGGTGCGCCTAACGTGGGAATGCGGCAAACGGGAGACTTGGCAGACGAGAACAATCAGGATGGCCCTACTCGTGCTCTCTGGATTGGCAGCATTCCGGTCTCCACCACGGTCACGTCATTGGAGGCAATCTTCAGCCTGTACGGCAAAATCGAGTCTACTCGCGTTCTTACCCACAAGAACTGTGGCTTTGTCAACTATGAGCGCATTGAGAGTGCCATTCAGGCCAAGTCACTTCTCAACGGAAAGGAGATCTTCCCTGGCGCTGGCCCTGTCCGGATCGGATATGCTAAAGTACCTGGCACCTCTGCTACTGGCACGCCCGGTGTTAATGGAGCTCAGTCTTCTCCGACTCCTGATCCGAGCATTAATGGACCTGATGGTATTGTGAGACCGGAGAGCGGCACCAGCATTCCGCATATACCTTCTCTTCCCGAGCTGCAGCCGGAAATGGCACAAATTGTCACCGAGTTCGGAGCCACGGAAGACGATGCTCACAATATCAGCGCTAGCATCCATCGCGCAATTGCTTTTGATGCATTTGAAGATGAGATTCCCCCGATCGCCGAGCCCAGCCAAACTAGGATGTTCGATGCTCCGCGGCTCCGCGATATCCGCAAGAGGATCGATAATGGAGCTTGCTCAGTCCAGGAGATTGAGGAAACCGCCGTTGCGATGCTGCCGGAAATCGCAGAGCTCGCGTCAGATTATCTCGGAAACACTGTCGTCCAGAAGCTCTTCGAATTTTGCTCAGAATCCACCAAGGAGCAGATGCTCGGACCCATTGCGCCTCATCTTGCTGAAATTGGTGTCCACAAGAACGGAACCTGGGCCGCACAGAAGATCATTGATGTGGCCAAGACTCCGAACCAGATGCAGATGATTGTTGATGCTCTGAGGCCATACACCGTTCCGTTATTCCTTGACCAGTACGGCAACTATGTTCTCCAGTGCTGCCTGCGTTTTGGCGCGCCATTCAATGATTTCATCTTCGAGACGATGCTCAGTCGGATGTGGGAGATCGCCCAGGGCCGCTTCGGTGCTCGAGCCATGCGAGCATGCCTTGAAAGCCACCACGCCTCGAAGGACCAGCAACGCATGCTTGCCTCAGCCATTGCTCTCCACAGCGTACAGCTTGCGACGAATGCCAACGGGGCTCTGTTGCTGACATGGTTCTTGGATACCTGCACTTTCCCCCGCCGTCGCACCGTGCTTGCACCGCGCCTGGTCCCTCATCTCGTGCACCTGTGCACCCACAAGGTCGCCTACCTGACTGTCTTGAAGGTGATTAACCAGCGCAACGAGCCAGATGCCCGTGAGATAGTGTTGAAGGCTCTCTTTTTCAGCCCGGGCGACGAGGTACTGGAGAAGATCTTGAGCGACCAGACATCGGGCGCGACACTGATCTTCAAGGTTCTTACCACACCTTTCTTTGATGAGTCTATGCGCGCCGAGGTGGTGAAGAACGTCTCCAAGGTCCTCACTAAGCTGAAGGCAAGTCCCAGTCAAGGCTACAAGCGCTTGATGGACGAAGTTGGCTTGTCATCTCGGGGAGGTGCTCGCGACAATCACCATGGACGTGATCATGTTTCGAACTCGGACAAGCAGCAGCATCGCCCAACCTCCCGGCAGGCGGCGTCAAACTACGGCTCCCAGCAGTCCATGGAACGTCAATATGGTGCGCAGTTTCCTACCATGCTAGGCCCAGGTCTGGATGCGACCAGGCCCGTTGCCTCCGAGCAGCAGCCCAACCCCGCTCCTTTTGATCCATACAGTATCAATGGAATGAACAGCATTGGTTCTGCTGGTGGTCTCAATCCTCTTAACGGGGTTGGTGGAGTTGGTGTTAATGGTACCGGCTTCGGCCAGGAGCCCTTGGCGCCTCTGACCCAGCAACAACTGCAGTATCAGGCCTACCTGGCTGCACAATCCCGGGGCCTCTCTCCCTCGGGACTATACCCAAGCCTCGGAAATTCCAGCTTTGGATACCCGGCTGGAGCACCTTCGGCTGACAGTCTTCGGGCTCTGCAGACCCCGGGAGTGCCCTTGGCTGGCGGTCCTGGCCAGATGAACTCCAACCCTATGATGAACCAACCGACTTTTGCCCCCCAGCAATTCAGCCCTGTTACGAACTCCGCTCAGATGTATCAGTATCCTACTCAGTTCTATTCCCAAGCGCAGCCAGCTCAGACACAGTCTGCGGGTGGACGACGTGGCCGTGTGAGTCATCCCCAGCATATGTGAGAGCCTACGGCTTGCCTGGGCGACCGACGCTAATGCGGATTGATCTCCAGCATTGAGGCTTTTTTATAACTCTTTAATTCGCCATTGACTTCAACCTGATGTATAAAGTTTTGCCCTTACCCTTTTTTTCGATTTCCGGGATACAGAGAGTAGTATGGCTATAACGAAATGACCCTTGTCACACCTAGACCGACGCTGGATCGTCTTGGAAACGGAGGAAGGAGGAATGAGATGAGAAAAAAGTGTTGTGAATTTTTGTCCATTTGAGAGCATAGTGGTGTTGCCTTTGTCATGTCAATAAGCATTTAAGTGATTTCTGCCCCTTGTGGCATGGTTATATGTTTTTTCTTGCTATTATTCTGTTGGATATGAGAACAGATGGTATTGTTTATTCTTATTATTCGGTTACTCAAGGAGTGGATGGTTCTAGCCAAGCGGATGCAACCGATGGCCTGCGTTTGCATGATTATGAGTCCGGCTGTATTTAGCCACTGAGCTGTGCTCCACTGGTTGTGGCTGGAATCACACATTACAAGCTTACAGCGAGAAACTAGTTACAGGAGTAATCAATGTTTAAGCCATGGGTATATTGCAATAATTGTTGTAGCTATCGATAGAAAGCCGCCAGTGTCCCTAGCATACAGTCCAATACCACAAACACTAAAACTCACCTTCCATCAATCTCATTTTCCCTCTCCCAACCTTCGAATCGTCACAATGCCACCGTAAGTCAGAACACACATTATTCCAAGTAATCCCTCGATCAGACCCGGGCAGACCATGGCCATCAAGTCTCCAATACTTTATGAAAACCCCAGTGCCACCGCCTTTGTGATCGATATTCCCAGCTCCATCGCGCAGGCACAAGCGCTTCCAGGACAGACGCCGCCGGCATCACAACCCCATCCAGCCTCTTCTACCCGAGGATCCTACCATGGAGAAAGAACTCTTTTATCTTCCGCCCCCTTGAGAGAACCTTATCCAACCTTGACAGAGCCCAAGACCGAGGCTGCGCGGGCAAGGGTCCTAGAGAGACTCCCGCTTGCCGAGAGGCAATATCACTCCGGGGTCATCGAGCCGCTGGTGGTTGAGAAGCTGGCGGAGCTCAAAGGAGCACTTGAAAATAAATTTGAGTGGTGCCTGCCTCGCAGTCTCATAGAAAACGATGCACCAGACAGTCCAGAAGATCCAGCTCAGGGTGAACAGATCCAATTCCTGGGGAAGAAGAGGAAGCGGCAACGCAGCAATACCACATGTTCATGTTCATGTCTAAATCCAGAGTCTGGCTCTATCCACTCTAATAGATCTCCTACTCGCAACGATCCTCCATTGATCCTAGCACCTGGAGAAAACACCTTCGCATCCATCTCAGAGCTTTCCAACAACCTGGTCCAAAACACCTCCATCGAGCCAGCTACAGTGAAGATACGCTGTCAATCAACATCAACAACAGAAGCATCAAATAACAATAGAACAAACACAATAACCAACCACTACCATTCATTTCACATCCCCCCGTCATCCCACTTCCTCCGCTGCACCATCCCCATCTCCGAACCTATCCACAAGTCATCATCACAGCCATTACTCCCCGGCCTACCATACGACCAGAAATTCAATCTAATCCTCCTCGACCCACCATGGACGAACCGCTCCGTGCGGCGCAGTGGGCATTATCAAACGCAGTTCTATAAAGGCTGGGATCTGCTTACGGAACGTATATGTGGTATCTTACGGGGATATTTGCATTTTGCCTCTGGAGGAGGAGAAGAAGGCGCTCAGTTACATGGAAACAGCAAGGGCCCTGTAGCAGCCATCTGGATCACTAATTCCGCGAAGGCGCGGAAAACAGCCTATGAGGCTATTCGGGGTGCTGGGCTTGAGGTCTGTGAAGAGTGGGTTTGGTGCAAGGTTACGATGGATGGGAAGCCGATTGTGGAGGTGGGTGGGTTGTGGAGGAAGCCGTATGAGGTTCTTGTTATAGGAAAGGTGCCCAGTTCTTGTGGGGATGGGGATGGGGATGGGGGTATTGTGAGAAGGGTTATTGCTGCTGTTCCGGATGTGCATTCTCGGAAGCCTAATTTGAAGGAGCTTTTTGAGAGGATGTTCTTTAGCTCTGGTGAGGTGGGGGGTTGTGTGCCGTATGCTGCTTTGGAGGTCTTTGCACGGAATTTGACTGCTGGGTGGTGGGCTTGTGGGGATGATGTTTTGAAGTTCAATTCTGAGGAATGGTGGGTTGATTGATAGGGGAAGAAGTTATAGACATGTGAATGTGAGCTTGATATACTCAATACAACAACCATCTCCAATATCAACTACCATACGGTAACCGGGTATACAACAACCACATACATCCACCTCACCAACAAAACCCCCCTCAATCAAAAACCTCCCCCAAACTAACAAGACTAAACCTCAAATCCCCCTCCCCACTCCCACTCCCCTTCTCCACCTCCAAAAACCTCCTTACCCCCAACTGCAACGCCCTCTCACTCAACGCATCCTCCTCCTCCCCAAGCACCCCCCTAACCAACGGTCCCTTCCTCCGCCCATCCAACTCCCAAAGCGTGCCATCCTCCCCCTTCACGAACGCCACGAAATGCAAATCCACCGAGTCCTCCGCCGCCGGCGCATCCGTATCCCCCAACTTCGCCGCATCCGCATGCGCACTCTCCAACGCCTTACTCTCATACAGCAGATCTGCGCGCTGGATCGGCCCCAACCCCTCCGCTTCTTTCAGCAGGTTATCTAGGTCCGAGCCGGGGGTGATGTGCTTCCGCGGCGTGCCGTTCGATACGGCGTGCAGGAGCCCGATAAGTCCGCACGCGTTGCGGATCGTTTGCTTGAACCACATTACGGGTTCGTTGGCCCCGGAGCCCGTGTATTCGGGGAGGGACGCGTCTTCGGTACGTCGAGTTGCTTCGTAGGCTGCTGAGACGGGGAAGACGAGGAGGAGGGCGTAGGACGGGCGGGGGATGAAGGCGAGGAGGTCCGGGCTGTCGATTGACCAGACGTCTGTGAAGCCTAGGGTGGGGGAGAGGCCGAGTTGGCGGACGAGGTGGGTCATTACTTCGGGGTTGTTTTCTGCGGTATTTTGTGTTAGCTGGGGTGGGTGTGTGGGTGTGGTGGTTGAGGGGGAGGGGGAGGTACCGAGGGGCACGAAGGCCTTGTTGGTTTGGGGGGCGTCGGCTGTGTCGGTCATCTTGAGGATGTGTAGATTGTATGTAGTGGTGGGGTTTCTTGGTTGAGGAGAGGAAATGTTGACTGTGTGAGGGGTGAAGGAGAAGTGTAGGAAAGTTTGCGATGGATGGCGGCGCCGTGAGGGGTTGACGTCGTTGGTGTTGCGGGGTCGATCGAGGGAAAGTTAGTTCCGCTCCGATATAGTTAAGTAGTCTATAGATTAGATCTACGTCAACAATGGAAGTGTATGCTTGCTTTTACAACGCTACTTGTGTATATGTTTTGCTTTACGGAATTTTCCAAGAGAGTAATTGTTGTAGCATCGTAACTCATCACTTTCTAGAGTCTATCATACTCTATCAATTCGGCAGCGGCTTCTCTCCCCGCTTCAAAGGGCCAAACACATTCGACCAGAGTTCACTGGCTTCACCCAGGAAATAAGTCAAGCTGACATCCGCCATTCCAGTTTCTTCGTCTCCATCCAGTGTCTCTAGTTGGGAGATGATGTTCTCCAGCCCGAACGCCTTCCCGGTCGCCTGAGTTGCACCCGCCTCGAGCATGACATTGACGACATGCACATGGAAATGATAATACGTCGGCTGATCTATACAGCACATGCACATCAGTAAAACATACCTCAAACACGCAAAGCACCTGAAAGGAAAGGAAACTTACAATGCACGTAAAGCTTCAGCTGATCCGTCTCCAACTCGGGATACACCCTAACCGTCTCCTCCAGCAGCCTCTCTCTCAGATACTTCAACCAAGGGATATGCTTCTTCTTCAGATCCCTCAAGGACCAAATATCCCTCCTCATGACCAGCGCTAACAAATGCAATGACCCCATGGTTTTCCGATCCCAGTTCAAGTCCGGCAACACCAAGAACCCTTCCTCCGCAGTTCCATCAGGTCCCTTCTCCCGAAGAATCACGTCCTCTTGCTCCGTGCGACCCTCAAGAATATTGAATACCCAGTTCAGTCGTCCTTCCTCACGCTTAGCGCTCATATACGGACGGATAGAGTCCCGGTAGATCTCCGGTGTCTCGGTGACCATGCGTACAACCTGCTCCGAGTATTTCTTGATGTGTGACTCCGTGCAGGGCCAGATCAGGTTGATCTTGAGGTCCGGGGGTTGTTGGCTTCCTGGTGCGGAGTGGGAGGAGGCTAGGTACCAGCGGTAGATGTCGTTGTCGCCGAGGTTGTTGACGTCGGTGATGGCGGCGTGGAAGGCTTTTAGGGCTTCAGGAGTTTCGGTTGCAAAGGCGGCGCGTTCAGCGATTAGGATGCCTTGCTGGTTTTCGATAGTACCTAGGATAGCGATGCGGCGGCCACTTTGGTCTTTGGGGGTTGGGTTAGTTATGTTGCTTGGAATGGTCATTGTCTGGATGTGCAGGGAGGGGTGATGGAGGGGCTGGCTGGCTGGTGGTTGGGTTGCTTGCCTTGTTTGAGAAGTCTGCTCACCTCGAATTTCGAGATGAGCGCCTCCGGCGAGACCTTCGCATCGTTAGTGGACATTGTGAGGGGCCTGTTGAAGATTAGGGGTGTCTATAGAAGTTGTTGTAGAGCGTTGACCCTACCCCAGATATTTGTTCTGGCGGCAGAATCTTGAGGGCGGTCAGGCTTATCTATATGGATTCTCTATCGGATTGATCGTGGTATTGGCTTGGCTCTAGCAGCTATCTAGATGGTTGTGGTTACAGAACTTCTTCCGTTGGGTATCTCTGGTCATGCGCAGCTAGCCTGGTGCTCCATTTCCTGTCCTTGAATCGTAGCCTTCCGGCAAGATCGCAGTCTGCATAAAGCGACTTGGAGCTTGGACGTCCCTTCCACCTATGGTCTGCCGCTAGTGTCACGGCTCTAGCATAGTCCTTGTCCATACATGGCTGACTGCAGTAGGTGGGTGGTGTAACTTCGTATATGGCGTTAGGGAAGCATCGAATAGGGGACTTTGTTCATGTGTTGACAGGGTTACTTAAGGAACCCATCCAGCCCGCAAACACAAATATGTGCCCTCGTTTTGAATGAGATTGTTCACCGTAAGCCTTCCCTCAAGTAGACGATTGCTTTTGACTGTCAGGAGTCGTATGCATCTACACTGCATTAGCCGGAGGACAACTCATCTAAGAAAATCGACCTACCACTTCAGCCAGCTTAATCCACTCCTCCACTCCCTTAACGAAAGTCTCATCTGCCGCAGGCACAAACTCATGTCCCCAGACCACATATTCGTCAAAGGTTCCTTGCTTCTCAAGGATCTTCACGGGCTCTTCTGGTGTGACTTCCTCGACCTCAACGTCGGCGCTCGTCCGGGTAGCAGGCATCGTACGGTCTGTGGGGGTTGCAATGACACCTAAATCAGGATGATTAATGGCCTGTTCAAATTGATGTCCTGGGATAAATTTTACCCTCGTAGCCTTCAGGGATTGCGACTCGGCGACCCCTTAGCTTGCGGCCGCGGAAGTAGGCTGTCTGCAAGTTCTGGTCTGTGAATCATGAGCATGTGTTGAGAAATGCCGGGTGCGAAGGAGTCACTCTATACCTTTCTCATCAGTGGTAGGCTTCCAGTAGCGACCTAGCGTGTCAACGGGGCCATCGTGGTGGATGCGACAGGGCAGGATGTTCGGAGTGAATTTGTCGGTTGAGGGCTCGTTGGAAGAGTTCTGGGCGGGTTGAATGGCGAACATCTTGAAGTGTATCAAGCGGAATTGCGTACAATGCAGTCTGAGAAATGTAGAAGTTCGAAGACCTGCGTAGTTCGTTCTGTTGAATAGACAATTGTACTATAGATGTTCGGAACGATGTCGGCAAGGATGAATTGAGCAAACGCGACGCGTAGTCGCGAAAAGGGCGGTTAATTCCGCGGTCCGCTTTAGTACCAACTGGCGGGAGGGCATTGATTGTGGCATGTCCTTGGTTGATAGACGAGCGTTAACGAGACACATCTCTACAATCTCAGTACTTTGGTATAATGCTTGTCTATATTCTATTTACTAAATTTCTCTATGGATAACCTTCAACTTCATGAACTTGGGGTATATCGAACAGAACCAGCCATTACATCCTGTAGCATCACCTCTTGCGGGTCTTCTTCTTCTTCTTTTTCTTCTTCTTCTGATCATCGTCTTGGTCTTTCTTTTCGACCACTACTCGCACAGGCCACTTCTTAAGATGTTCCCGCTCGAAAGTATCCTTGTCCCGCCGGTACAGGAGCATCGTAGCCCTAGCATCCTCCACACTGGAATGCGCGCCATCCTGGATTTCCAACCCAAGGAACTCCGAAGCCAACATCTTCAACCTAGGGGAGCCACCGCCAGCAATCTTTCTGTATGGGGCATGTTTGCTCGTGTCTCTGATGTCGCGCTTGGGGTGGCTGAGAAGAAGAGCGTCCAAGTCATTACTGACCGCATGTCCCACGAGTATTCGCCCATCGAGGATGTTGATAACGTCTTTCTGCACTTGTTCGAGTGTTCGCGCCTCCACCATATGCTTCGGAAGGATACCGCTGACATGCGTCCGCCAGTCCGTAACCATCTCTTTGGGTCTCACGTAGGAGTCGTATATTTGTTCACCGTTGAAGTTGACGATACTAACTCGCGCGAGAGCGGAATCGTGATCGGGATTGGGGCCCACGCCCACCATTTCGCAATCCATCGCAACATATTTTCCTAGCTCCGCGCTGATATCAAGTTAGTAGTTATTCAGAGTAAGAACTTTCGCAAAATCGGAAACAAATGTGTACTCACGTAGGTGAACGGCCTTCATTAATCTTTGGCTTTGATTCCGCAACAGTGACCGTAGAATTCCTCCGAGACGTCGACTTCTTTGTGGGCTCCCCAGCGCCATTCTCGCCGCCGTCAGTGCCGTTTGTAGACATTCTTTTTCTCTTGGCCGAGACCGGTTTGCGCTCAGGTTTTTGTTTTCCGTCGACGGTTTCTCTTTTCCGCTTCTTTACCACACCATTCTCCGTCTCGCGATCTGAGGGTTTCCGTTTGGTGGTGGAGACGCTTTCCTTTTTCAGCGTCCCCTGGAGTTTCTTCCAATTGCTGGAGAGGTTTTTCAAGTCCATTCCAGTGATAGGCCTCCAACTATTGCATGGTGAAGGGACCTGAGAATCCAAGAGGGGCCGGAGAAAAAAGATGGGCGTTGCGGAGACTGGCCCGGCAACTTTCCAAAAGCAACCTTAACGGTCCGCGCTAAATTTTCGGACGGGCCCACCTGCAAGTCTCGAACGCTGCCGAAGTAGATATTGCTGGTCAACATGCAAAGTGTATACTACGGACTATTTTACAGTGTATATATATAGAACTACGAGAAGCACTGAGACCTGGCTATAGTCGTGAAGTTCATGGATTTAGTTGAGGCTCATACAAACTTTTCTATGTCCAGCACTAGCCATATTACGTGGAATCTATCTTGAAAGAACCGACACAAGCAAACGCCAAAAGAGTAAATATTTACAGACCCGGAACCTTGAAGTCCTTGTGAGACCACTTCACTGTCACGTCTCTCTTTGCCTTCTTTGCCTGCGTCACCGGCTTGCGAGACTCCAGCTTTCCTTGGACAACCAAAGTGCGGAACCGGTCGTCCAGCAGGTTGCCCTCGGGCTTGAGCAGACGCAGAGAATCCTGCAACTCGTCTGGCAACACAACCTCCAGAGGCTTCTCAGGAGCGCTATTGATTGGATTAGCAGGGCTCAAAGCAAACACAGACGAGTAGATCACTTACTATAGCTTTCCACCAAGCGGTTTCCGACGCAAAACGGTATCATCACCCTCTTCCGAAGAGCTGTCCTCAGATTCCTCGGCACGAGCAAGCTGCTGTGCCTCCACAAGTTCGGCGGCCTCCTTAGCCTTTGCGGCCTGCTCTTCCTTCTTCTTCATCTGCTCTTCCCACCTGGCCTGCCTCTCTGCTTCCTTGCGTCTCTTGATCTTGTTCCTCTGTGCCTTTGTCTTCCGCTCCGGACGCTTCTTATTCAGCCAGTCCGGCTTCTCATATTCGCTTTCAAATCCTTCCCACGCGCTCTCATCATCGGACTTCACCATACCATCATCGTCTTGGGCTTCGGCGATTAAGCGCTGCCTTTCCTCTTCTTTACGCTCTTCCTCCAGACGCTTCTTCTCAGCTTCGACGGCCTTCTCTCCCTGCTCCTGTAGCAGCCGATCCCAGTCCTCGAACGTCGGGTTGTAACTGATTCCGGCAGTAGGCTTGCGGACCGCAGGAACCGGCTTGCCATTTGCGGCGAGTGAGATCGGAGCCTGCTTCAAGGTGACCGGCTCTACCTTGGGCTTCGGTTTCTCCAGGAAGTCGAACTGAGGATCGTCCAAGGGCGTGGGATCCTCTGCATCTCCCCAAGGGTCGTATAGGTCATTTTCAGCGGGCTTGTTGACAGGGTTCCCTTCCTTAGCCACCTGCTTCAAACGCAACCAGTCTTTCCTCGTAACCCAGTCGCTCTTTTGACGCTTGTTTTTCGGCTCAATAACACCGTCGGTAACCTTGGAGTTAGTGCGCTTGCGTGTGTCGAGACCTGGGATAGCGGAGCGTTGCGCCAAGATTTCTTCCGACTTCAAAGGCTTGTGCTTCTTCTTGTACGCTTCACGGATTTCTGACGAACCCTTGGTGTCGATAACGAACAGCTCATCGGACGGCTTCTCAGAAAGAAGACCACTAGGAGAAAGCGACCAGAATTAGCTTGTTGTGACCGACGTTGGCAGAAGAGTGACATCAATCCTTACCCTTTGATCTCTTCTTCTTTCAGAACCCGAAGGCCTTCCTGAACCTCATCGATATCGACATTTTTGCGCCAGGCCTTCTTGCCTTTGCGAGAAGGCTGCTTATACTGCTTTGGTGCACTGACGGCTTCAGACATCTCGGAGACCCCACCGGAATTTAATCGGTGTGCAGTACTCTTGTAAATATTTGATCTTTTTCTCGGAGTACTAATTTTTGATTATTCCAACCAAAATTCTGGACCCGCTTACCTAAGAATGCGCGGGGCGACGCTAGTGCGGTTGTCGCGCTAAGGTTCTGCGCGCCTATCGCGGGCCAGTGACGAACGCCGCTTCAGGACTTGACCTTGCTTTTCACCCGCGTCGGTTCCTTATCGACTCTGGTCAGCCTGGACCAAGCAGTCCAAATCGTTAATATATTTCGTTTCTGATTGCGCTTCGTCGCTGTATTTTACTACTTTTTGTTTTTTATCAATTTGTCGCTGTCAGCGGCTGCAGAACTGCCCAGCCATGCCTGTCGTCAAAGGAGGTGTCTGGTAAGTGCATAGCTATTATGCATGCTTTTTGTTGCATTTCACTAACTGTAGCTAGGACGAACATCGAGGATGAGGTGCTTCGCGCGGCGGTATGCTACAGCTAACTCCTGTCCAAAAGCCGACTGGTCTGCGATTGGCGATACTAACGCTACATATAATAGGTCTCGAAGTATGGTCTCAACCAGTGGGCGCGTGTTTCTTCCTTGCTAGCACGAAAGACACCAAAGCAGTGCAAGGCGCGATGGGTGGAATGGCTGGATCCCGGCATCCGCAAGGTCGAATGGTCGAGGGAGGAGGATGAGAAGCTGTTGCATTTGGCCAAGTTGATGCCAACACAGTGGCGTACAATCGCACCTATCGTGGGACGGACAGCAACACAGTGCTTGGAACGCTATCAGAAATTGCTGGATGAAGCGGAAGCGCGTGAGAACGATGAACTTGCTTTGGAAGGACCCGGCGCAGAGTCAGCTGCTCCCAGTGCTGACGATGTGCGACGGCTACGGTACGACTCTTGATATTACACGCTTTGCTATCTTCTTTTTCATGTGCTGACAGTACCTAGACCCGGCGAATTGGACCCCGATCCGGAATCTAAGCCCGCTCGTCCTGATACCATTGACCTCGACGAAGATGAGAAGGAAATGCTGAGTGAAGCTCGCGCTCGTTTGGCGAACACACAAGGAAAGAAGGCGAAGCGGAAGGCCCGAGAGCGACAATTGGAAGAATCGCGACGACTTGCAGTCCTCCAGAAACGACGTGAACTCAAAAATGCTGGCATTAACATCAAGGTCGTTACCCGCAAGCAGGGTGAAATGGATTATAACGCCGACATCCCATTCGAAAAGCCAGCAGCCCCCGGATTCTACGATACCATGGACGAAGAAGCCCGCAATGAGAGGCAACGTGAGATGTTCGATCCTCGCAAACAGCAGCTCGCCAACAAGCGGAAGGGAGATCAGGATGACGAGGCGGAGCGGAAGAAGAGGAAGAATGACAAGGGTGGCAACTCCGCGGCGTTCGCCGCTGCTGCTCGTGCCGGCCAGATGCAGAAGATCCGCGAGGCGGAGCAAAGCAGCAAGCGAAGATCCCTTGTCCTCCCGGCCCCTCAGGTCAGCGAAGGTGAAATGGAAGACATCATCAAGATGGGTATGGCAGGTGACAGAGCCAGTAAACTGGCGGGAGACGAAGAAGGGGCTCGTGGTCTGGTCGGAAACTATACTGGCATTGTCGGTGGAACCCCCATCAGAACACCTCGCGCGCCGCCAGAGGAAGATCACATCGCGAACGAAATCCGCAACATCAGAGCTTTGACCGAGACCCAATCATCGTTATTGGGAGGCGAGAACACTCCCCTGCATGAGGGAGGGTCTTCCACTGGATTCGATGGAATTGCTCCGCGTCGTCAGCAGATTGTTACGCCCAACCCGATGGCAACACCGTTTAGGCAAGCCAATGGCGTCGGTGCAACCCCTATGAGAGGTGGTGTTGGGCCTGGTGCCACTCCCTTGCGGACCCCTCGGGATCACTTCGCTCTGAACCAGGCAGAAGGTGGGCAGCTGATTGGAAGTACCCCCAGAGATATTAAGATGCACGAGAATTTTATGCGTCAAAGCATCCGCAGCAAGCTGGCAGCCCTGCCAAAGCCCAAAGAAACGGAATGGGAGCTGGAAGAGCTTCCTTCCGAATCTACGGAACCAACGGCTGCTGCTGAGTACGTGGAAGAGGATTCCGCTGAGCGCGATAGAAGGGAAAAAGAGGCTCGAGAGCGCGCCGCAGCGGCCGAGTTCAAGCGTCAGTCACAGGTGTACCAGCGATCCTTACCTCGGCCGAGTGTACTTGATATCGATGCGATGATGGAACGGGTGTCTCACATCACGGATCCCATCTCCAGTCTTGTCGCAAAGGAAGCCGCTCTCCTTATTGCGCACGACGCCCGCAAATTCCCCACCCCCGGTGCTAAAGTGGAGGGCAAAGCTCGCAAGCTGGAGCAATTAGATGACAGCTTCATGGAGCAAGCCCGTGCGGCTATTGCAGCGGAAGCCGCCACATCCGAAAAGCAGCAGGAGTGGCAGGAAAACTTCGACAAGCAGTGGAGTACAAAGCATTCCAGCGCGCTACCAGGGCTTTCCAACTACGCTGACGATGAAGAGGATGATGTGTACCAGCAAGAACAGCGAATGATTGCAGCGTTTGACAATGTACAAAACTCTCTGCTGGCCACGGCAGAACGGGGCAACAAGCTGGAGAAGAAGCTCGCTTTACATTACGGAGGCTATCAGAACCGGGCGAAGATGCTCCGAACTAAGATAGTGGAAGCCCATACAGCCCTAGAGAAGACGACGGATGAGCTGGATGCCTTCCGTACTCTGCAGATCTCAGAACAGTCCGCTCTCTCACGGAGACTCGAGAAACTGAGAGATGATGTGGCATTCGTGATGCGCAGAGAGCGGGAAGCTCAAGACTTGTATAGGACCCGGAAGGACGAGCTTGACGAGCTCGTGGCAGGAACAGGGGGAATGGTAAATGGGTGGCATTGAGTGGTTTAAAACAGATACCTAGCTTGAATTTGAATCTGCATTTCTGCAGCTCGAAATGTAATTATACTTTCCTATCAACTACTAGAGACTACTAAGTAGTACTACTGACCGACGTGCTCTGCTGGCTCACTGGTGTGTGCTTCGGCATTGCTAGTACTAAGTGTTGATGCTAGTATTGCGATCGCACTCAACATGGTTGTAACTATTTAGCGGATAAATATACTGAAGCTATATAGTAGTAGTATGCATTTCCTCTTCAATGGCAAGAACCAATTTAAACAGATCCAGAATACTTTATATTAGTATTTTAGCCGATACAATTCAGACACCTCACCTCGCAAGCAATGCCATGGTGAATAGGGGTGATATAGACTATTACCACTGCAGCAGGCACGAACCCGACGGATCCATCAAAGTAACCGGCGCAGCTGGGGATGGATGGATGACCAAAAGCGGATGGCAAAAATCTAAGGCGGTCTCTTCCGGTGCATCGCAACGGAGAATCCTCCATCACCTCCTACGATCCCCTTTCGCGTTTCCATCGCGCAGTCCGCTCCACATAGCGATTTTATCTAAAATACATCTATAGATACCTTGAGAATCACCCCTTCTTCAATATGGGCGGCAGGGACGAGGCCACCGGGACCCCGGACCCCGTCGAGAAGGGGTTCGCCACCCTCAATACCATCCGGTAAGTCGATGAAATATTTCTTTGACTAAAGGCTTGGGCTTTACGGCCCTGCTTTTCTCGGTCGCATGAACTAACCAAGGCGATAGGATCGGTGTCAAGGCCATGGTGCAGAAGGTCAGTTTGTTCGTCGTGATCTTTTGCGGTGCGGCCGTGGAAGTCACATGATACCCATCTCTATACTGAGGGTCGATTGCCTATCTGGGAATGATCACTGACTGGTCTGTCTGTGTAGGATGGAGAACTACGAAAAGCAGAAATTCTTTCGATAAAGCAGCGGAAAGATGGCCCTTCTTTCTAGTATGTTTCGTATCCCTCTTGAAGCGTTGTGATGTTTGTACTGACAACCTCAGCGTCCACTATGTCGATTTTAACAAGCGTCTTGATGGTAAGTCCGACTTCGGTAATTGATCTACCATGCTGCTCATACTCACTTTGCATCTAGAATGGATTGATTCCGGAAGAATAGACCTGTCACATGAGGTCGAATGGCCTCAGCCAGAGAAACCGGAGAAGAAGAAGACCGGCCCGGGCAACAAGGCACCTAGTAAGAACGCCCAGAAGCGTGCTAGAGCCGAAAGCCGGGATGTATCAGCAACGCCTGATCTTCTGACTGGAAAGAACACCAACGTTGGCAAAGCCCAGCGCCCGTCTAAAGCGGGCGGCAAAGAGAACCGCGACGAGACCCCCGTGAACCTCTCCATCGGAGGTTCAGAAGCTGTTTCCGCGGATGGAACCCCCAAGCCCGACTCGGATGATGTCGACATGATCGATGTCGGCTTTTCCAAAGATGAAAAGGAAGAAGCGAAAGCACTAGGTCTGATGTCGCGCGAAGAAGAAATCGAACGCCTACGTACTAGCGGTAGTATGACCCAGAACCCAACAGAGATTCACCGCGTGCGAAACTTGACCCGTCTCCAAATGGGCAAATACGATATCGAGCCCTGGTACTTCTCACCATACCCGGCATCGTTCTCCGACGCCGACGTCGTATACATTGACGAGTTCTGCCTGGGATATTTCGACAACAAGCGCGCCTTCGAGCGTCACCGGTCCAAATGCACCCTCGTGCACCCGCCCGGAAACGAAATCTACCGGGACGACTACATTTCATTCTTCGAAGTCGACGGCCGCCGCCAACGAACCTGGTGTCGCAACCTCTGTCTACTGAGCAAACTCTTCCTCGACCACAAAACACTGTACTATGACGTCGACCCCTTCCTCTTCTACTGCATGTGCAGTCGAGACGAAACAGGCTGCCATCTCGTCGGCTACTTCTCCAAGGAAAAAGACTCCGCGGAAGGCTACAACCTGGCCTGTATCTTAACCCTCCCTCAATACCAACGCCGCGGGTACGGTCGTCTCCTCATCTCCTTCAGTTACGAGCTCGGCAAGCGCGAAGGAAAGCTCGGATCGCCCGAGAAGCCCCTCAGTGATCTCGGTCTCCTTAGTTACCGACAATACTGGCGAGAAACCCTCGTGGAACTACTCTTAGAAACCGGCCGGGAATCCGTCAGCGAGCACGACCTCTCAATGCTGACTTCCATGACGGAGAAAGACGTCCACGAGACTTTGGTTGTGTTCAATATGCTCCGTTACCATGTACGTTCCCTCTCACTATCAGTTACCCCCCGAAAGATACAGCTACTAACCAATCATTACGATATAGAAAGGAAACTGGGTCATAGTCCTAACCGACCAAGTCGTCGAAGAGCACAAGAAGCGCCTTGAAAAGGAGAAAATTAAGGGCGTTCGCAAAATCGATCCCGCCCGGCTGCAATGGAAACCGCCCGTCTTCACTGCTTCATCCCGTACCTGGAATTGGTAGGGTTACCTAACTGTTGCAGAAAGCTATTGAACGGGAGCGGGAAAGCCGGGGAGGTTGATTGATACCCTAATATATGGAGTCGGTGGTGTAATGTATGTGTTTATGTATGCTTGCGGCTGTTTTTTGGAGGTCTTGTCCCTTTCCTTTTCTTTTCAGGGGTGTATGGATTTTTTGTAAATTAGATTACTATTACTTAGTGCCTTGCAGGGGGAGTTTTGTGGCTTAGCATGGGATGGATGGTTATATTTAGCGTTAGCAGGGTTTTAAAAGGTGTTGTGGAATTCATCTTCATCAGTCGGTTAGTACTAGTGTTTTGATATGAATATCTAGTATCCATCAGATGGTAGTATTCAAGATGGCGTAATGCTGTACAAGCACCGGCAAACATTGTGAAAGACGAACATTATACCTTTGCAGCTGGTTTCGCAGTTGACACCATGATCAGGCAAGCCTCCATACCACATGTCATTACATCTACACTCAAAGGAACAACACATATTTTTGAAGTATTCGAATGCACACCTCAGAACAAATGCTAGATACACGGTCCTGCACGTTAACACAAAGCTCCCGTACCATTTACCCTTTCCCAGAATCTTGGCTCCGGTTCCACAAGCTATAGAAAAAAGAAAGAAGGGGGATCCAAATGGCTCAACGACGACGATGTACTATCGACGGAGCAGGTGAAAGCGACAGGGAGATGGATAAAGGGTTTGCGTAAGATGAGAGAGTAGGAGGAGAGGAAAGGGTTGTGTGAGTGAACTGCATTGATCATGATACAGCACCGTACATGCGGAAATTAGGAGGTCAAGTTTCGAGGAAAGGAGGTAAGGATAACGGGGTACGAGCAGATGAAGTTGTGGGGGGATTCGGAAAGACGTGACATGGGTTGGGTAACCCCCGCGCGAAGACAGAGATAGAAGGAAGCATCGAACATGGTAGTAGCGTGTGATGAGAGTTTGTATAAAATCTGGTAGCAATCGTCCCGCTCAACTCATGGCGTATGTTACTTTGTGAAGAGGGGGAGGCGTTGACAATATGCGCACGCAGGGAATATGGCACGGCAAGCGAAGAAACATTAAAGGAATACTGAAAAAATTTCAAACCAAACCCAAATCCATCGGATTCCCTCGCAAGCGTAGCTAATCATTACCGAAATGTAACGCTCAATGAATTTCTGAAACCCGGCAAAAGCCAACACAAGGCTAACAGCTGAAACTCGAATCATGAGACTTCACTCCGCATGGAAAAGAACGATTGACTTCACTGGGATCCGCTAAAAGTACGGGGTCCCCAGGATGCAGTCCGGGACTGACGTCGCGGAGAGCTGCTGCCATTAGGTTGGGACGTGGCAGGCTTCTTTGCTTGTGAGGAGGCGTTGCCCTCGCGCGGCTTTGTAGTCTTTCGAGGTTTGTTATAGCCTGAAGGGCCGCGTGGGCGAGGGTTATTTGCCCCTGCCTTTCGAGGGAGGGTCAGGGTCTTTGCCAGGGCCGCACCGGGGAAGCGGATCGAAACCTTTGTGTTTCCGGCGGAGTCCCTATCGTTATATCCAACGAAGAAAGGCTCAACACTGAGAATTTGCATCGACTTTAAGTGCTTGGACCGCAACCGGGACTGCGAAGGTGCTCGCGCAGCCTGCCATGCCGCTGGAGGCGCTCTGGTTGGGACTCTGACGACTGGTAGAGACCCTACTTCACGGTCCTCGAAAATCTCCTCAGCTTCTTCAACTTGCTTCGCACTTACTTCACCATCTCCGACATGAAGCTCGCCGTTGCAAGGAAGGGAGACTGAGACTGAAGCAATATGCAACTGAACATCGAGAGGTTCTTTGGTCGCTGATGTGACCGCCAGCGCATTTCTCTTTTCGGGTATCGTCTTCTTGCCAAAGAGAGTGTTTATTTTCTCCTGCCAGGATGTAGCTGGACGCGGAGGGGCAGCAACCATCGAGGCAAAGGTGGGAGGCGGTGGCGGCGGAGTTACGACTTTAGGAGGAAGTTTGACAATGGGTTTCGGCGCAGGAAGATGGACCAGGGGCCTGTTCGACGCACCAGTATAAACTGGGTGGCTTGACATCTCTTCAGGGGGAGGCGGCGAAATACTCCGGAAATAATCACCTTCGTCATTCGCCGGCTTCCTCAGATGCTCCGTTGCTTGAGGGAAGAATCGTGAACTTCGAACCGGAACGCTGCCGAGAGGACGAGCAGGAGTCTCAGTGAAAGGCAAAGAGCTGACAGTGGGATCAAAACCAGGGAGAGGATTTGGCAGAGGCGCGTTGTTGTCTGCTGACTTAGTGATCCCGACAACTTGTCTCTGTCCAACCTGGTCACCGGTCCGGACCTGCTTCCAGGTTTCGTTGAAGGTAACAGGGAGTGAAGAAGATGGTGCCTCACGCATCGAATCATACTCGTTACGAAGCCTCTCGTTCTCCTCTGCCTCACGTTTGGCAGCGACTGCATGGAAATTGTTCCAGGCCACTGTCTGTTGTTGCCGGTGCGAGTGCTGCGAGCTTGGTGGTCCAATAGGCCCGGGACGCAGCATAGGGTTTATGTTGTCATAAGGAACATGCCTAGCTTCCGGGGACGGTAACGGAGAGATAGATACCCCATCCTGTGGAGATCGCGAAGGAGCGGAGAAGGGTTGAGTCGCCGGGGCCATGGGTGGCTGGTCAAGACCTAGATGGCTGCGTATGGAGATATCTCTCCCAGGGAAGCCCCCTAGGCTTTGCTCAAAGATACCGTTGCCTAGCGTCTTGTCATTGCTAAGAGGCTTCCAAGGATTTGAGATGGCAGGAGGTGCCGGTCCCACAAATTTTGGATTCGGGGACCAAGGCAGATAGGTGTTGGGGGTAGTAAGATTGCCTCTCCACTGGGAACTTTGTTCGTCGACCTTGGTATCCGGCAAGTTATCTGAGCTTGATGCTTCAGCAACAACAGGTTGCTGAGAGCCGTTCGGCAGGCTAGTCTCTTGCTTGGGCTCACGCGCCGGCGAAGACGTGCGTCGCGCAGTAGCAACCGGTGGTGCTTTATCCGTATTGCCCCTTTCCCTATCCACAAGCTTCTTCACAGTGTCTGGATGGTGGACCTTCATCATGCCATATTGCTTCGGCTCCCCGCTCGGTTCAGGTACTGGAGGTTTCGGAGGAGAATGGGCCGCTTGCGCGGTAGCCTGCGTGATGCTTGCCTCGGGCTTACCGGCATCAATGGACTCCTTACGCCTTGATTTTGGCTTTTCGGGCGGAGGACCAAGCGCCTCGAGCTTCTGCCGGATCCTTTCACGCTTCGCAGCCTCTTCCCGCTCCTCCTGCTCTATTCTCCGCTGCCTAGCTTCCATCCTCTTTTCCTTCATGATGCGTTCTTGCATAGCGACAGGGTCTTCCTGAGGTGGTTGGGGTACTGCTGGCTGCTCTTCCACTGTCGGGGCAGTGGGTGGCTGTGCTGTCCCGCCTGGTACATTGGCTATTCTGTCTTGCACATTTGCAGCACCTCTTGAAGGCCAAGGACCAGGACCACGTCGGGAAGGCGATATCTCGCGTTGGGAAGCTTCCTTGGGAGGTGGCATATCTCTAGGAGGGATGGCCGCTTCGATCATTCCGTTCACCTGTGATCCTCTCCTAGATTCGAACACTTTCTGGGGCACATCGGGTCTACCAATCGACATCCGACGCCCAAAGCTGCCACTTCCCCCGCTCACATTAGACGATGTCCGACGCCGTGTCCAGTGCATACCATCTTGACCGCTCGATCGGTGTGTCTGGAAAGCGGCTGAGGGCTCTGCTGGTCCACTTTGTTCACCTTGGGCAGGCCTCTGCAGCAAGGCAGGGGTACGGTAACTCTGTTCAGCGCGCCAAGGCCCCTTCCTCGTGTCAGGAGCAGGCTCATAGCGGCCAGATCGAGAATTGTAGAGCTCCCGGGTCCCAGACTGCATCTCCTTCCAAGATCGGTTGAAATCATCTGCAGCAATTTCCTTTGGAGGAAAGGGACCACCGGAACCGTCAGTCGGGTAAGGTTCCCGAGCAGGAGCCCGCATCGGCGGTTGAACCTGGATTGGAGGAATGACAGGTGAGATTTTTTCAACCGGTGGCAGAGGTGCCCAAGGCGACTTGACGGGCGGAGGGGCCGGACTTGTGGATAGTAGAGGAGATTTGTCGTTCAGTCCCTTCGCAGCAAGACCGGCATTCTTTGCTTGTCTTTCTGCATTTGCTCCGAGTCGAAGCACCGTGGGATTTGGCCCAATAGACGTCGTAGGTTTCGGTATGAACTTTGGCGGTTCCTTGATGCTTGCTGCTGCTTGCTCAACGGGAGGAAACTCCCTTTTGAAATCATCTGCCACCGTGTCTTGGCTGGGTACTGGAGCGGATGGCGCAGGCTCTTGGTTGGTGAGGTTAGTTTTCGTGCCATCAGTCCACTCAATCGTCTCAGGAGCCCAATCATCCTCGTCGTCATCTATGTCTGCCCATTTCGCTTCGCTTCCCCCGCCGTCTTCCTGTATCCTTGAGGTCATATGGATGCCGTACTGTTGTTTCAACTCTTCGTCGGTCAAGTGCTTGGGAGGCGTTTGCTGGACGGCTGCAAGGACAAGATGGTCAGAAGCACATCTCAGTTAACTGGAAGGTTTGTAGTCTTACGCCGATTCCTATTCCAAACTTGGTTCGGATCCGGTCCAGCTCCACCGGGTTTGGCTGCACCTGTTCCCATTTTCGATAACGAGTCGCGTAGGCTGCTAGTAGTCTTGACGACCAAGCGAGGACGGGAGGTTGGCGGCGGCGTCCCCAGGGGGGTAGTGGAAGTCATAGGGGCTGTAGTGAATCAGACTTAATTCCTCTGTATTACACGTGAATGTAAAATACCTTTCTCAGAAGCCTTTGTTATCGGGGGAGTTCCCGGCGCCTTGGGAACAGAAAACTTGGCAAATGTAACCGGCTTGAAGGAGGTTGGCTTCTTCGAGCCGGCACGGAGCCTGCCCTCTGTTCGACTGGCATCGGACTCTGAACCTCCCTGAGACGCTGTGTCCTCCCCAGCATCTGACCCAGACGTTACTCCATTCATCTCGAGCGCCCGTGCGGCGACCGGCAGTGGACCAGACTTTGGGGTATCCTGCGTCGGGTTCAGTAGG